ACTGGCTATACTGGTGCAATATCTTTACACTCACAGCAAGGAAAAATATTCAACTAGAACTATTAACAATACCAAGCGAATCTCTAGCATTTACAAAACTACACGCCAAAACAAACTTTGACGCCAACATACAAGAAATAATACCACAATTTCAACAAACTGATTATACAACATATACACTTATATAGTTTGATCACACAACAATATAAAAAACAAGAAGACTAATCAGAAATATACAGAATGCAAAAAATCTAGCAATATAGCATTTACAAAACTGGACACAAAAATGGGCCAATATACAAGATATCGACTGAGAATTAACATATGTATTTATCAACTATGCTACACCCACAACTCGACAAACACACCCAACCCATTCTAAACTAAAGGTCTTCAAGATAAAACTCCTTCTAGACGAACTGCCAATTCTTCAGAATCTGAGCAAACGAAATCCACAAAGATATCCAGAAACACAATGCAAAATATGCAATATAGAAGAAGAAACAAATACACACTGGCTGATATGCCCAAAGAACCCAACTAACATTAACACCTTTATAAATAGTATAGCCAGAAAATTTATAGACAAAAACCAAAAAGATACAGCAACAAATAGTGAAAAACTAGAGTTTATAGATAAATTCTTTACTAACCTAAATCCTACAGCCAATAGCAATACTATGATCTTAATTCAAGACCTCATCACAGATGCGTTCAAACAAAATCTAAAATTAATAACACTTACCAAAAACAAACCAAAACCCAACTTAGTCAAACTACTCCACAAAATTTGCAAAACAATTTACAACTAAATATGGAAAAACTGCTGCAGAATAACAGCCCAAAGGACAAACAATGACCAAATACAAAATACAAACATCAACTTTACACATAACACAAACCAACAAACCACACAATTAAATACAAACTATAACGTACAACAAACAGCCTAAACAAATAGATAAAGTGGACCAAACAATACTACACGTACAATACCTCTTCTAATATGATTTGTCAAATACAATTTGAGTGAGAACTTGGTGTCTTCTCTTAGTAGAGCCTAGGCCGAAAGTAAACTAGCCTTAGTCAAAAGTTTTTAGATAGCTTAATTTCAAAATATGTAAAAATATCTTGATATTAAATTGTAATATTGCAAAATGTTATCAATAAAAAAACCGAGATCAGGTCTCACTCTTAAAAAAAAAAAAAAAAAAAAAAATACACAAAAGTAAACTGATTATTTATATGAAATTGAAACAGAAAAATAAAACCAAAATATAGAAATAAAATCAACCTTGCTTTAATTCTCTGCTTTTTTTCTTATTTAATCGCCCTCTTTCCTGTAAAAGACTTCTTTTATTTACTTTTCTAGTTTTTGTTCGTTTTTGCTTTCTCTATGTGGAGAAGGCAATATAGAACTACTTTTACTATTCTTATGCGATTCAGTTTCTTGTGCATAGAATAGTAAGGATAAATTAATGATCAGAATATTCTAGTATTCAATTACAAAAAGTAAGTATCAAAGCTCAGAATAAAAAATAGAATACAAATATTGAATAAATTCATACTTTTAAATTTAATAACAATTCTATAAAATTAAAAACAATTTCACCATCAACTTTTTGAACTGGTATTTTAGCTAAGCATAATCGATAGAGATAGTGCACATTATCATTATTTCTAATTATAATATTCAGATGAATCTGGCTACCAGCTACTTGAATACTGATAATACCAAATTCATCTTTGTCTGGCTTGCACTCTTTGTGAGACCAGAATAGCTTATTATTCATTTCTCGCTATAGTTTTACTTAATCTGTTTTTTCTTTTTCTTCGGTGCAAATCAGACATAAACATTCGGCAAATACCAATTCATATATCTTCTTATATTTCACAATAAATATAATATCTGGCTGTTTTTCCATTTCTGGCTTCTCTTTTCTATCCGTACTGGCAACACTTTGCTATTCTGCGCTGAAATAAAAAATATATATGAATATGTTCTCAAGAAGTTTGTTTACTCTTATAACTTACGTGCTAATAAAGCCAGTCTTTTTGATTGGAAGTTCTTTAATGTAGCTCAAATAGAAGAAACTATTATATCTGTTACGTAAGTTCCTTCATTTTGTGTACTAGCCAATTCAGGTCCAAAAACTAGATTCTTCCAAACTTCATTCCTGAAATCAAAAAGACATTAGATAAATAAGGCATAGCATTTTTATAACTATAGATGATATTTATAAAATCTTCGAAATTTTTTTAGAATCATCCGCAAATTTTAATACAAACTCACCTCATTTTTCTCAGATAAAATCTGGGGCTGAAACTTGCATATTGTTTTCCGATTCCTATTAAGCAACTTTACTTAATATATCAGTTAGTAAAATTCACATAAAGAAGCTCAGATTATACAAAATAGTAAAATTTTTTGGACTATTCACTACAGTCAAACCTCTCTATAATTACCTTCTATATAAGCACATATTTTTAAAAACCAACTATATATTATTAAATATAATAAATTTAATCTCTATAATTATCACACTTCTCCATAATCACCCTTTTTTGTATCCCAAAAGTGTGACTATAGAAAGGTTTGACTGTATTAAAAATTTTTTAAGAATAGTAAAATAATGATAAATACATGCAATCCTGATATGATATATTAAATTCGATAAATTTTTAAAGATACGTATCTATTTGATATGTAATATATATGATTAATTCATAATTACTTAATTATTATATGTATTTTAATATAAAGTAGAAAACAGATAATCATACAATTTATAAAATAGAAATCGAATAGTACACAAAATTTATAAAATAAAAATCAGATAATATACAAGTATCTGTTTAAATAAAAATACTTGTTTATATATTCTTGATTTTTCTTGATAATCATCAAAACACTTGCACTATTTATTCTTTTTTGGTTGAATCTGCTACTTCACAAATTTAAAAAATATTCATTCATTTTGTATTTGTATAATCATAATATAATAAATAATCATAATGAAATATTTAATTAATTGTAGATTATCAGTATTATTATTTATTAGAATATCTATCCACCCACCCTACAAACTGATGCTCTTTAAATACTTTTTTCTTGATTTAAATTTATTTAAATTTAGTTTAGTAAAATGATACAAATAAATAAATTTAATAAGTAATACAAGATAGTAACGGTTTTATAAATTATTCATGATGCTTTACTAGATAAATTGAATAATATTTTCTTGAATAAAATCTAGAGGCATAGCTATATTAATTTGTTACTTTTCATATGAATATCTACTAGATCTAACATCCGGTTCTATATAAAATACCTATGACAGTTTCAAAAATCAGTTTGAAATAAGACCCAGATGCTATAAGTAACACTATACGGTATATGATCAAACAAATATTTTTTTTGATATATTATATTAAAGGAATTTCATTCGAACAAACATGCGGTTAACAAAATATCTTTTAATTGAATGAAATCACATAGGTAGTTACCTACGTGAAAACAATTTTTTTAAACTATTAGTAAAATACAATGAGTAGAAAATTACTATTATGATTTCAAATCAACTTTCACATTTATGAAATATGAAAATATTGTAAATAGTTATATAGACAACCTGCGTATATTACATTCCACTGATTAAAAAACCTGAATTACACCCGAGAGGCATATTATTTGGAAAGGGAGTGTAATAGATTTCTTCTAATTGAATATGAATTACTAATTGAGAAATCTGGGTTTCTTATATTCCAATAAATTCTTAACCCTGGTTTAGATCTGAGTATGATAAAGAGGATCTACTATCAAAAGGTATTTTATATGACCATTTACAGTAATCACTTACTTTCAAGCAAGATTGATTCTAAAATGTTGTGTTGATTCAGATTTTATCATGAGATTTCAAATACAACTTCGTTATGTTTTTTTTTTTTTTATAAAAACAAATTAAATTTAATTTAATTTAATTTAACAAAAGTCTTATTATAATAACAAACGATACAAATGAAACTACAACCAATATCACACCACTACTTTTGTGCTTATGAAATGCTTGCTACAACTTTGATTGCTATTTTCAAAAGCATATCTTATTTGATTTTGATCATATTTTTTTTTGAATTTATCTTTCTTTCATTGTAGCAAATTTATTTCAAATCTCATACGCATACAGTACTGATCCCTTTTAATATTTTAATACATATTATGAATAAAAAAATATTTTTTATTAATATATGCATATGTACATCTACTTGCATCAATTGTAAAAAAAAGAATAGATTCTGTTATTTACTTTATTACCTTATAAACTGAATTCATTCATCAAAAGTCATTGCAAAAATCATGATTCTAAAGATAAAATTCAATAAAAGCAAATAAAAAAAAATTCTTAATTCTTTATTTAATTAAATAACAAAAAAAAAAAAAAAACTAATTCAAAAAAAAAAAATCGACACTAAAATCGAATCATATTAGCTAAATAAAGCTCTATTTTTTTTCTAAAAAAAATAATAAAAATATAAAAATATTATTTTTTTTTTCTTTTTTTCTTTTAAGAAAAAAAAATTTAATAAAAATATCAAAATACTATTTTTTTTCTTTTTTTTTTAAAAAAAAAAAAAATACAAAAAAAAATAATGCTCGCGAAAGTATTGACGTTCTGCTATATTCACAATTGTGTAGACCGAATTACTTAAAATTTTATTGTAAAAGAAGTAACTGGAATTGTGAAATTCAAAGATAATAAACCCAAAATTACATATTTAAAAATTAAAGTTTTTGTACTTGTTGATGAAAATGTTGAACATCATATTGAACCATTCAAAGAAGAGGACATGATTTACTTCAGAAAAAAATTTATTGTATACAAAAATTATTACACAGTATATTAAAAGTGCAATCTGTTTTTTTTTTATAAAAAAAAATAAAATAAAATAAATAAAAATTAAAAAAAATATAATAAAATAAAAAATTAAATAAAAAAAATAAAATTAAAAATTAAAAAAAATAAAATAAAATAAAAAATTAACTAAAAAAAATAAAAATAAAAATTAAAAAAATTAAAAAAAATTAAAAAAATTAAAAGTAAAAATAAAAATAACTAATAATTTTTATTACCAACCTTTACGATTTTGTAATAATACAAGATCAATACTATATTGATTAAAATAACTGAATTAGAATATGATGATATGCTCTCGATCGAAATGAGTATAGTAATTGTCAGTTCTACTACTCAAACAGTTAGAAATGTGGATAGAAATTCGATTCTCGATTTCTACGTTGAAAAAAGACTTGGAGATAGAGATCCAACTAGCTTCTGGGTTGAAGTCAAATATAATGCAAATAATAATTATCTTTCTAATAAAACAAATGTTATTAATCAAAATCTTCAATCTACAACTGCTATTCTCGTTAGCACTATTAACTACCATCCTCCATCAACCAATTCCAATACATTTAATGAAAAGAAACATGTTCTAACATTAAAAGACATATCTCTGATCTCAGCCAATCGCACCTGCATGAATACTCAAACCATCAACATTCTATAGTTATTACAATTAAATAGTTTCATGCATGCCGTAATGAAAATAACAATTCACCTCGCAGAGCTACCCAACTAACACTACAAAGAAATCGTAGAACTTTATCCCAAATAAATACTATGACAATATCTACACTTCAAACAGCTTTGGAAACTAACCTGATACCAAAAATGACCAACCAACAAACATTACAAAATCAAGGTCAAAATTATCAGAATATCCAAAAAAACACATTCACCCATCAAAAATCAGAACAACCTGATAATAATATTGCTAAATCTAACGATAACGATTTAGCACAACTAAAAGCCAAAAAAGCTAAGTCAGGTAGAGCTACCTAAGAATACTTACTGAATTGATAACAATGATTAAAATTATTTATTAAAAAAATCATTATAAATTGACCTTATTATATTTTATATTCACTTTTATATATTATCTATTATTAATTAAATCAAATAAATAATATAACTATCATTTTTATCTGTTATTTCTATCCATCATAAATATTGTTAAATGGTATGTCTAAAATAAATATAAAAATCAAAATAATAAAATCTTTCTCTAAATAAAAACCTTTGAAACTTTGACTCAGACATCAATTAACACTGATCTAAAATTTTTAATATCAAAAAAAAAGGTATTTCTAATATTGATTATGCCGATTTGAAGTATTGTATGTAGCTAACCATCTATAACCATTGCTTCAATGATACATAACAATAAATCTTAGAAAAGCTCTATGTATTACAGTTTAGTTATACATATTTGACAATACAATATACACAGTACTTACATTTTGTTGTACATATGTACGTATATACATAAAAACTTTTATTTCCTTATTTGTATAATTATATTACCTCTGAAAATCTTAAATATTTTAAACAATCATTGTTCTACATATAACCACCATTTGTTATTTAACCGTTACTAAAAATCAAAATTAGTACAGTCTGACCTCTCTATAGTCACACCCCATATAGTCACACCTCTATATAAGCACCCAATATTGTGTGACGGACTTAAAACATAGTAAAAAAACCTTATTATAGTTACAAGTCACTTATAATCACTATCACATTAAAATTTAATTTTTAAATCCGATTTATTAATAAAAAAACCTCTTTATAATCACTAATTTATTAATTGAAAGATTTTTTGACTAAGTTAACCACCTTTGAGCCTCTAAGTAAAGTTGTAGAGCTCATTAAAACTAATCTAATGGTGG